CTGTTGTTATTCACAAGCTATAGCTCACTGTATTATTTACGTATGTAGGTGATCAGGCGCGCGACGAGGCTTAGACGTGTCTGCTGGAATTTGTTTTTGTCAGCTAACCTATGTGACTTCTGTTGAGGTTCTGGATATGTTAAGTGGTTATGGCTATGTGATTAAAGTTTAAGTTTAAGTTTTGTTTTCTTGTTTGATTAAACAAGTGTTTGTTTATTTTGTAAATAAGGCTAAGTCCCATTTTGTCTCATCAGTATATATAATGACGTTGGAAATGATGTGATGATATATGTATATATAAAGTTCTAAATTTTTTTTTGTTTCGTGTAAGTCTGCACAGCTCAACGGACATTGTATATTTGTTACACTACAAGAAATTGCACTTTTGGCGGCTACTTTTGGCTACAACGTCAATTTTTCGTAGCTAAAAGTATATTTTTGGCGACACAACAATCAATTTCGTTGGGAAAAGTAGACCTTTACCAACGCAATTTACTATCGTCGCTAAAAAAGCATAACACTGACTAGGCGCCAAAAATATTGGTTGGCGCCAAAATTTCATAAATTTTAGCTACGAGGCTTAATTTTTAGCAACACAATAAGCGTCGCTATTAATGTGCTTACTTTTGGCGACGACAAGTTGGCATGGGCAAAGAGTTAAACATTTAGCGATGATAATACTATTCGTCGGTAAAAGTTTTGGTAGTGAAATGAGGTGATCTAGTTATTTGTATTTTTATTATAATTTTTCAAAAAATTTTAAATATTCTAATTATTGAATTGTAAAATTAAAGTGATCATCGAATTATATCACAAAATAAACCCGTCAAACTCAAACATGTTCTTAAGTTGAGATGGCTAATTTAAGATAATCTAAACTTTTCCAAAGTGGTTAGATCATCAATTTCAATATATTTGGTTGTATTTTTAGAAACTTATTTCAAAATTTCTAAAAAATTAAAAAACATTTGGTGAAAAAATAAAATATACTTATTATTTTTGTATAATTTTATGTTTTGGGAGGTCATAAATTAATTTTTAAAATTTTAAAAATATATTTTTGATTTTTATTGTTCTCAAATTAATTTTAAGTTTTTCCAAAAAAAAAAATCTAAAAATTGTTTTTATTGTCCTCATTTTTTTTTGGTGATCTGCTTTATTCAGGCGGTGTGAATGTTCCCTCTCAAAATTCCCTCTTTTTTCCCCCAGGATAGGTAACAAACCCCCTCATCACTCTACCCGATTTTCCATCTTGCACAGCCTTCTCTCATAATTCGTAGGTCCCTACCCTTACAATCGCACATCCGCATAGACGTTTGTTGATTATCAGGTTTCCGCCGTTTGCTGCTGATGTGCGAGACCAGGTGAAGATTCGACTAAAAAAACTTATAGTTCTCTATTTGTCTCTTGCTCAAATCGATTCTCTCGTATGTTGTGGATCTATGTTTTTTATTATTAATCTGGTTTTCTTCGATCTGTCTTTGATGTCCATGTGATTTTGCTGTTCGAAATGCCACTGTCGGTAAGCTATATGTAGTGATTAACCTACTGATATGAAATCAAAGTAACTTTTATAGGTATTTGATTGAATTAGGTTTAGAATAAAATCTGTATATCAATGCCCTCATTTTGTATTTTGATCTGTTGTACTCTGTAAGAGAACATTTCCTGAAATGTCTGTCCCTTGCTTTGTGATCATTTTTAAAGCATTTATAAATATATTATTTAGTACCCCTTATTTTGAAAATCCATGATTTTTGAAAATCATGAAATATTTCAGTTTCCCCCTAAAATATATATGTATATATACATGTAGCGGCTTTAGATGATTTACTAACCCATCTATTACAGCTTTAATTGTTTCATTAAAATTTGTATTAAACTTGTCTAATAATGTTCATGTTTTGGTGAATGTGTAAAGCTATTATATGTACCACCATTTTGATCTTTGGAGGAAAATTAAAAGAATTATAGGGGTTGAAGGATGGTTGGGGAAGTAATGGAGGGTTGTGGACAGTTCCAGAATATAGCATTAGCAATGGCTGTGGTGATGGTGGCAATAATATCAAGGTAAAAGAGGAAGTAGTATTTCAAGGTGGAGGAGGAGAGGAGTGGAAGTTAGGGAAAAGAGAAGCTAGTGTGTTGAGGTACAAGGAGAAGAGGCAGAACTGGCTTTTCTTCAAAGGTATCCGTTATGAAGTTCGAAAGATCAACGCATAGAAGCGTCCTCGTATGAAGGTAAATAAACATTATATATATATGTAATTAATCTATCATGTTTAAATGTTTTAGCTATTGCAAATGATTTTGATAGTGTTTTTCTTTTCAATATCATTTCTTCACTTTTTTGCAGGGGCAATTTGTGAAGAGAAGTTGAAAAATTATAAAATGTGACATGTTAAATTGTAGTCATCATAAAGATTAAAGAGCATGTTCTTTTGTGTGCATCTTTTTCTTCTTTTTTTTTTTGGTGGTTTTTTTCAGGTTGCTTGTTACATTGTAAAGGAAGTGATAAATGGCATGGCAAGCCCAAAAAAAAACATTGCCCCCAAGAAAAAAATTAAAATTGTAGAGGTATTGTAAAATTCTGCAGAATAAACCAAAAGAATAATACATGCATTAGATCAGACAGTTTGAGTTAATATTACCTATCGATGCATTTTTAGTCTGTATTGGTTTGTAGGTAGAAAATGAGTAGAAAAAGGGTGGTTGAGCTGTATAACATTTTTCTGTTACTGTATAAAGGTCTAATGTGCTTTTAAAAAAAGGTTGTACTTTTTTATAACATTATGTCAATATAAAACAAATGTTTTATACTAGCCACTTAAATGATGTCTCAATGTTCTTAATTGATTTACAAAGTGCACACATTATAAGAAAAAGTTACTATTTTTTTGTGGCATGTTATGCAATTTCCCTGCTATTTTATCTTTTAGTTAAATCTGGATAACTTTAGCCCTGTAGCCGTCACTGCCAAACCTCCAACCACCTCCCTAAAATTGTTCACTTTGATAAAATGAAATGTTGCTTTTATGGAAATTCATGGTGAACCTGTGATAGGGCTGTGATCAATGAATTCAAAAAAATTAAAATGTGAACACGACAATAGACCTTTTCATTAACAGTCATTACCGTGTTGTAATGCGGGTTGCAGTAGTAGTCAAGTGTATTTTAGATATAAACGGATCATAGACTTTCAATGTGATCATGGGGCCTTCCACCTCCTCTAAGAAATTTTTTTCGTAATTCGTTGAAATTTCTCATTTAGACCAACCATATATTAGGCATTTTTGTCATTTGTGTTTTGGTAAAGATAACGATGGTGCAAAACTTTCACAATAGGACCAGCAGGAATTGTTATTCTCTGAGTTGATATATATCATGTTTGTCTCTGCAAAAGGCTTTTTAGTGTTTGTCTCTGTCATTTCCTTTCTTTACAATTGCCTTTCATGTCTTTTAGATCTATTTTTAGTGAGTAATATGCTTTAGCCTGTAGGAATATACTTGTTCTCCTCAAAGATGATGTTATATCAGACTGTACATCGTAGGACCATAAACATGAAGAATCACAAGGCCCGTTTGACAAAGCCTGTTTGTTTGGCTAGTTGGAAATTGACATCACTGAGAGAAAATCAGGTAAGGTAATACTATAATGTACCAATAGAATTTATATACAAATATTTAATATAGAATAATATATTTTATTTATATCTATTCATTCGAAGTCAAAAAGCTGGTTGGTGTTAACAGAAAATTATAGGCAAATTAAAAACAAATAAATAAAGTGAAGAGACAAGAGATTATTGCTAGAACAAATATTCAGTCATAACCGATTAACATATTGATGGTGAAGTTGAAAGTCACCATCCCAAAAGAAGAAATATGGAAGGGGGTTTTGTTACAAGCCATCCATTTCATCTTGAAATTGAGAAGGCAAAGAAGATGCTAAAGGTAAAAAACTGAGATGTATCCTACAAAAAAAATAAAATAAATAAATAAATAAAATCACTTTGTTAACCTGATTGTTTGGCACTAAGTGCTTGAATGAACAAGCACTTATTAATGAAATTGAAAAGCTAGTAGATGCAATTATTGAACAATGAACAAGCACTGATTAGCAATACAAATGGTAAATTATTGTTTGTAATAGACTTTGAAAGATTTGATTATGATAAATTAAAATCTTACAAATTATTCATGAAGACGTGTCATGAATTTCCCAGCCAAATTCATGGAATTTAGACCTATTTAAGGCCATTGCATATTTTGCAGTTGCTCTATGACCATTACCTAAACTAAAATTATTTTTCGTGGATTGCAATTCTATTTGATAACAGACATGTTCTCACACAGCTTGGCCCCTCAAAGATTTGTAATGAAAGTAAATAAACTTGTAAATGGGCAATTTGGTTGGGCAAGATAACTATTTGAATATGCTGGCTCTATTTTGGTTCATCACTTCTCTGATGATCATTCATATCAAAATGAGTTTTTTTTTTTTTTTGGGTTCATTTGCCTCGAACTTCTTTGAGATAATGAGAATTAAGTTATAGCCCCATTTCATACAAAAAAAGATTTTGTGGCAATGTTTAAATAAATAATTTGATTATTGTTATGTGACTATAAATAACCAGATGTGCTTCTAATTTTTTAATATTTATTTTGGTTGTCATGATTACTCCTTACAATTCACATTGTGAAATTTTTGCAATCATGGGTGCAATTGCTGACAATAGAGTGTGAGCCCTGTGAAGCATCTTGAATCATCCCGTTTCATTACCATCACAAAATAACAGGAAGATATAATCAATAAGAGTGAACCCTCCACACCACACACATCTCTTTTATTGTCTCGGCAATTATTTTTGGTAGTTACTGTCATTTTCCTCACTGTAAGATTAGATTAGATTAGAGGTAGAGAGGTGTCTTTGTTCACTTTTTGATTCTGTGCTTATTCTCTGTCCCTACCATTAGCAATTTGGGCCCGCCCTTAGACATATATGGCTGGCAGTATGCGGTGGTTGTGCGGTAGGGGCCTGGTTTACCGCTAGCCTATGTCGCCCCCACTTGCAATACTTGTTTTTTATGCAAACAAAATACTATCATTGGTTGAATTGTAGAAGATAAATTGATCATTGGTTGTGTATGAAATTTCATTAGATTTTGATGTTTGATTCACTCCATGGAAAAACCTGTTTGCATTATGCTGCTTTCTATGGCCATCTAGATTGCCTACAAGCTATTCTTTCTGCTACCCTTTCCACCTCTGTTGCACATTCCTGGTGACCCTCTCTCTCTCTCTCTCTCTGCACACACACACTCATATATGCTTGTGTGTAGAGAATATCCATGAAGTTGCTAAAGCTGTGGTTGTTTTGTTTGGTTTGATTTGGAGTTGATGGCAGGGAATTTGCAAGGTTTGTGAATATAAGAGATAAAAATGGAGCAACCCCATTGCACTTGGCAGCCCGACAAGGATGGCCGGGGTGCGTTCATATGTTGTTAGACAGTGGGGCTCTTGTTTGTGCATCTTCTAGAGGATATGGGTAAAACTCTCTTATTGAAGGTTTTCTAGTGTAATGTCATAGCACTCTTAATTTGTCATTAATATTTATAAGAGTCCTGTTTGCAGTTTCCCTGGGATTATATCACTTCATTTTGCAGTTCGTGGGGGTTCATTGGATTGTGTTCGGGAATTACTTGCTTGGGGGGCTGATAGACTTCATAGAGATTCATCTGGGTAAACTTTTTATTTTTAATTTTTAATTTTTTTAGTTTTTAATTTTTTTAGTTTTTCTTTCTTTCCTGACTTTAGAAAGAACTATATGATAATTGATGCAGACCAGATCCACTGACATACGGAGTAGGTGATTTCAAGGTCTTTGATGCTGAAATTAGTTTTGAGTACTCAATATGGAATTAATGTTATAGCAGTGTCTGAACCCCCTTGTTATTCCCTTTCTATGGAGTTGAATGTGCTACAATCTACGTATTTCTAGTGTGGTTAAACAATATTAGCCTTCATGCTCAATCATAACGAAAATCGAGAGTAATTGGTTCCTATTGAGATTGTTGACGATGACATGATGGCATTAAAGAATTTGGATTGAGGCTTTGACAAGTATGGTTTAACAAAAGATATGGTTGACACCTAAGAAGGAGCAACTTCAGTGGGCTTGTATAATGGTTGCTATTGCCAAATTATATGGTGGCTGCACCTAAGAAATCCTCTCTAGTGGCCTGCCAAAAGGTCTGTTAAAAACTTATATTGCCAAATCTTGTGCATCATTTGTGCCAACTCAACTTACCCAAGAGAGGGTTTTGATCCAATGGTCTGGATGTGAGACATCCATTGGACAGAATTAAGCAATGATCTAGATGTGCCAAAATGGCATTTGCACCATTGGAACAACATTGCTAAAAAAATGACATTTTGACATTTTCCTTTTGGCAATCACCACTGGAGTTCCACTGAACTTTTGACATAGTTGCACTTGAAATTTTTTTTTGCTATTTTTCTGTTTTTAATACTTCCAATATTGTGGGAAGTTTGCTCTATTTGTATTTTAAATGAGTGGAGACATTAGCTTCGAATGTTTTGTGAATGAAACGATTGTTACCAGCTGATATCTTGGCAGGAGGATACCTTACATGGTTGCTTTGAGGCACAAGCATGCAGCATGTGCAGCATTATTGAACCCGTCAGCTCCAGATCCTCTCATATGGCCATCACCATTGAAGTTCATTACCGAGCTTAATCCAGAGGCAAAAGCATTGTTAGAGAGGGCACTAATGGAGACAAACAAGGAAAGGGAAAAAACCATCTTGAAGGCGATAGTCTACTCACTTCCATCGCCTTTGCATTCTGAAGCTGCGGCTAGTGACATTATGTATGAGGTAAATTGTTTTCCACTAAACCTGTAGTTTCTAGTTGACACACTGCATGACTGATCACTGATTCAGATGTAATCATCCTTTATCCAGGTTTTTTTTCTTTTAATTTCTGATTTGAATGTTGGATTTTAATGACTCCTCTTTACCAAAGCTTTCTATGCAAACAAGTACAACTACCTACAACTGCAATTGACAGTATTTTCTAACAGACTGATGATGAAGTTTTCTTACCTTGTAAATTTTCTTTGCAGGCAACAAATAGTGGACCTGGTTTTCTTTACCAAAGCTTACTCTTAATGGTATTGGGAAAGAGCCAGTCGCTAAGTGGTGGTGGTCCTGGGTGGAATAGATAGGAGCTAAAAAGGCGAGGTTTGAACATCCAAACTAAAATAAGAGTGCTGGGGTAAATACCATTGGGCTAAAAAGCCCTTGGCTAGGAGTAAACAATTGAGTAGTAAGGTTCCATGGTTAACAAGAAATAGCTTTAAGTGACACTAGAATACTGTAACATTGTTTTGTTGCTTTGGAGATCACAAGGTCATGACATCGATGAACAAACACCCTATCCTAGGATGTTCTAATCAAATTACATAGTTCAATTTCTAGCATAACTACTAAGCACAAATTTTTCGAACTTGTATGTCCTTACATGCGTTAATGTGCTTCTTTCTTGTGCTTTAGCTGCATTGCTTTCAGGCACTCACTAAAATTAAAAGTTATACAGATCAGAAAAATAAATTAGAAGCAGAAAACCAAGGGCTGCTTCTGAATTTTGGTTCACAGCTTGATCAGAGCTTAAAAGGCTGCACAAGACCATCTTGGGGTCAGTTTCTCAACAACAGCAACAATGGGGATGCATGGAGGAACATGTCTCTTCATTTGTTGCTAGTAAATATGACGTATGAACTGAAAGCTGTTGTCTCTTTCATATGTTAAACTTGTTAGTTAATTTTGTTAATCTTACATCGTTTTCTCTTAGGCCACTCGGATACTAGAATCTAGGAGTAATAAATTGACAGATATAAATACTTCGGGAGTGACAACCTTGAAGGATCTGTCTGATTCATTACAAATCTTTAAATGCAGGTTTTGGAGTTGGGGATGAATTTTTGAACTGCAGATGATATGAGTGCAATACTTGCTGGAAGAGAATGGGTTGCTGAATGTGGGTGAAGTTGCACCTGTCAGGCTTGCATCTTGAAGGGAAGGTAACAACTAGTATATTCTTATTTTTAGACTAGACTATGTATGCATGCTATATTTTGTCATTTGTATTATATGTTCGTAGCCTATAATGAATTTGAATATTATAGTCAAGTGATAGCTCAAAGAAAATAGGTGGTTTTGTTGTAGGCCATAGGTATATACGCAGAGATAGAAGGCAAGGTCATGACAGATTGTTTGCAGATTATTTTGCTGTAAATCCAGTGTATTCACATATAGTATTTCGGAGACGTTTTCGAATGCGTCGTCCTTTGTATTTGCGAATTTTGAATGCAATCCAAGCACACAATTCATATTTTGTTCAAAAACAAAATGCAGCTCATGTAGTTGGATTATCTCCTCTACAAAAAATGACTTCAGCGATGAGAATATTGTCATATGGTGTCGCAGCAGATGCAGTTGATGATTACAAATGTATCGGGGAAAGCACTGCAATTCAAAGTTTGCAACAATTTTGTAATTCAGTGATTGAAATCTTTGGAGTAGAATATCTGAGATCTTCGACACCAACTGACATTGCTAGATTACTTGCTATTGGGGAGGTTTGGGGGTTTCCTAGTATGTTGGGAAGTTTAGATTACATGCATTGGGAGTGGAAAAATTGTCCAAAGGCATGGCAAGGTTAATATGTAGGCCATCAAAAAAAGTCAACCATTATTCTTGAAGTAGTAGCATCTTATGACTTGTGGATTTGGCATGCATTTTTTGGAATGCCTGGCTCACACAATGACTTGAATGTCTTGGACCGATCGCCTTTGTTTTCTGATCTTGCACAAGGTAAAGCTCCACATGTCCATTACACTATTAATGGACATAGTTACGATATGGGTTATTACCTTGCTGATGGTATATACCCTCAATGGGCAACACTGGTTCAAACAATTTCTTCTCCCCAAGGAGCAAAGAGACAACATTTTGCAATGATGCAGGAGTCTGCCAGGAAAGATGTAGAGCGGGCATTCGGAGCCCTTCAATCTCGATTTGCAATTATAGGTGGTGCTGTACGTTTTTGGGATCCGAAAATGCTTGCCAACATAATGAAGAGTTGCATTGTATTACATAATATGATTGTCGAAGATGAGAGGGAGGAGCACCTTGATTTCGATTATGAAATTTCATCAACCAACACACCAGTGCAACTTTCCTCTACTCCTACCAATGACTTCCAATCATTTTTGTCTCGTCATTTAGGTATTAGAGATAAGGATGCATATCATGCCCTCCATAATGATTTAGTAGAACATATGTGGCATCTTCATGGTGAACATTAAATTCACCACATCAATACATGTAATTTTGTTTATAGTTTTGGAATGGAAGGTGGTCTTGTTTGTAATCTTCATTATGATGCAATATATTAACCAAATAATTCAGAAGTTATGTGATGATGTGTTGTTGTAATGATCCAATCTTTAATGCTCAGAATTGTTCTGTGTTCAATTCCTAAGAATTACAAACGATAATAATCATGTCTTAATCAGTTACAAATGATAATACCACATAAATTTAATAATCATGTCTTAAATTCTGTGTTCAATTCAATATTGGTGTGCCACAAATGATAATACAACATCTATTTATGCACATTTAATAATCATGTCTTAAATGATAATTTAATTGTAATACCCCGACCCTCGTACATGATTCTGGTATCTTTTCAGTCCTCTATTCTGTGTTTTTGAATGCTTATTGTGAAATTCTATGTGAAATTACGTTGAATTAAGTGAGACTTGGAATATGGATTCCTATCTATTTAATTAGAAAATTATCTGTCGCACTTAAACTGTTTGAATCCAGAATTGGAAGCCTTAGAGACTTAATTTTTTCAAATTGATTTGACATTTGAAATCTGCATGATTTTTAAGCTATAATGAGATTTTCTGTGAAATTTCAATTTGGGATGATTAAACGATTGAATTTTGTCTTATTCATCTTTTATATAAATATATATATCTATATATCAAAGCCCTTTGGACATTTTTGACTTAGAAGTTCAATGAAAAATATCCCCTGGGAGAGAATTAGAGAAGAAGAAAATGAGAGATTCACCTAGAGAGAAAAATTGGGGAAATTGAGAGGCTTTGGTGGAGAATTGAATCAAGGTATGTAAACACCATCTTAAATCAAGTTCTTTCTTGGGTTTGAGTGAGTTTACCCTTTTAATTGGGAGGGCTAGAGGTTATGTTGAAGTTTTGTGAAAGATGATTGTCTCATTGGGAATTATCTTTACCATGTAGTTGTTTTGGTTGTTTTGGAAATTAATTTGAGTTATGGAGAAGTTACACCTTGCTTCCTTGTTAATCTCATGTAGATACTCATCTATGTGGTTGGATTATATGATTAGATGGATATATACATATATGTGTGTGTGTTTGTGTGTAAGTGAACCCAAAAAGAGTTAGATTGTGATTGATTATAATTATAAATTCAAAGAAATTAGGAACCTAAGTTGGTTTGTGATTCATTTTTCATGTGATTTTGAACTTTCTTCTTATGTTAAATTGATCTATTATGAACCTTACTATGTGTCCTTTAAGTTGAGTTTTGTATGAAATTCAGACTGCCAAACAGGGGCCAGGCCGCACGTGCGGAGGTCGTGGCCGCACGTGCGAAGAAGAGAAAAAAAAATGGAGAAGCATACTGTTTTTGGCCGCTCGAGCGGAGGAGGGGCACCGCACGTGCGGTCCATGGCCGCTCGAGCGGAGGGGGTGGACGCACGTGCGGCCCAAGTCCGAAAAAAATGTTCTCTCCATTTTATGTGCTTAACCCCCGGATATTTTTAGAATTTATGTTTGATGCCTTTTTGGTGGTTGTAAATTCATTTGAAATGTAATGACTCAAGAAATAGTTTAAAAGGAAAAAGGAACTAATGGATGTTATATATGTGTGTAGGACACACCACAAGAGGAACCATCGCTCCGCAATAACACTATGAGTAACAGTACAATGAATGTACGCTTATTACTGTAAATGTTTAATGATATTAACATTCTGATTTCCATAAATTCTTACATTAACATGTATATCGATTGGAATTTGGTGGGAATGTAACATGTATATCGATTGGAATTTGGTGGGAATGTAAACAATGATGGCATTATATACATCTGTATATTTTCTGGGCCGAAAGGCTGTTCTGTATACTTCTGGGCCGAAAGGCTGTTCTGTATACTTCTGGACCGAAAGGCTGTCGGGGCCAAAAGGCTGTTCTGTTATTTCTGGGCCAATAGGTTATTCTGTTATAACTGGGCCCAAGGCCGTTCTGAAAATAATACAGCATCAGACTAACGATATGAATTCCATTTTTATGAATGCACTATTATGTATTATGTTTTAAATTGCGTATTAAACTGTTTAAGTACTGTTATTCACTGAGCTTATCTCACTCTATAATTTTGTCTGATTCTGTAGGTAACCGACTTGGAGGTCAGTCCTAACGTCAATGTCATCTATCTTTTGTCAACCTAAGTACAACCAGGCACTTGGAGAAGCCCTTTGCATCTTAGTACAGTTTTGTTAAATTTTGTTATCTTATACTCTAATTGCCGGCCAAGGTTGAATTGTATCTAATGTTTTGTTATATGCCCAATTTCTGGGCTGGACTTGTAAATATATATACGTATGCATGTACCTTATTCTCTGATGCTTGTTCCCTATATGTTTATTTGCTAGTTGTGATCCTGGCATATTAGAAATGGCTCAATGGATATGTTTTCATGTTATTTCCTAATATCAAGCGCTTCCGTTCAGGCCCCATAGGATATATGTATCAGGTTAAGTGTTCGATTCTGAATAGGTCATGCCCAAAACTTTTAGGAGCGAGTTAGGGGCGTGACATTAATAATAATGTCTTAAATTAAAAAAAAAATGTTCATGTGCATAATCATAATGTCTTAAATTACTGATGTTCATGTGCATAATCATAATGTCTTAAATTACTGATGTTGATCTGCATAATCATAATTTAATAATAATGTGCCATTAAGTTACTGATCTTAATTTAATAATAATGTCTTAAATTACTGCATAATCATTATTTGTGCATATACAAATTTATACAAATTTATTGATGTGCCATTCATTTACTGATGTTGATCTTGCCATTCATTTATTGCCTCAGCTGAAATGCATTCAACATACAGAGTTAAAAAATTCTTAATAATGTTGCCATTCATAAAATTAGTGGATAAATGCATTCCACCTACATTCATGGCATACTACAGACACTGCATACGTTTGAACCACCTACCATTTATTTTACACACACCACCTACCATTCATTGAATTCATTCCACCTACCATGCCTCATTTTACACACACCACGATTGTTGAGTATTAATTTCCTCACCACCTACCTCAATAATTCACCCTCTATATCAACTCAACATTATATACAAACCTGGCATAAAAAAATTCACTCTATTCACTAAATACCTCTGTCCATAGTTTGCCTCTACAAGAACACATTCACTGTATTCCCTCCACCACCACTTTCAAATTCAGCTTAATCAAATTCTAATCCGAAACTCTGCATATTCACTATATTGTAAGTGTGAATCCACAGAATCAGCAAGGCAAACCATCTGAATCAAGAAAGCCAACATCAGCAAGAACAACAAGGCAGCATCAAAACAGAGTAGGCTGCATCGCACGGGTCAACCGGTTGGTCAACCGGCCCTTTTTTTTTGTTGTTTTTTTTTTTTTTTGCCTTTCAGTGTGCATGCTTTATTTGTTCAACTTTATGCCTTATTTGTTCAACTTTAACCTTCTCAAGAGCATAAAATTCATGTTTTGATCAAACTACATTCATGTTCAATATTTTAAAAATTAACTTCTGTGATATAGAACACATGCACTGGCATCTGATGATTTTTAGTTTCAGTATGCACTTCTGAACAACAAACACTGCATAACATGAAGTAAAAATTAATGTGCCATTAAGCATACACCAATTAGTATGCACTTCAGTATAAAAATGACATGAAGTAAAAATACTTTAATATGCATTCTAATATTAAAACACTATAATATAAAAATTAATGTGCCATTCTAAGCATACACCAATTACTGCATAACATGAA